CCCCCCCCCCAGCAGCAGGACCAGGGCCTCTGCTGCTGACACCCTGGGAGGCCCCTGGGGAGGGGAGGGAGTTGCAGGTCCCTGGAAAGATGGTGCCGCTTTGGGCAAGGGCCCCTCCCAACTCGAGATGCAATGGGCCCAGGTGCCAGGCGACGCCCCAGTCCTTTGCAGGCTCCGGTAGCCAGGTGCCCACAGTGGGGGCTGTGGGGGCTCTGGGGGCTGTGAGGCCCTGCGGGGGGGCACTGGGAGTGTGGGTGCTGCATCTCTGGTTTCCTCCTCAGGGCCTGGGCCTCCTGGGTGTAGACCAGGCCTGTTAGGGAGCCTGGGCTCGAGGTTGCAGTGGGCAGGCAGTGGGCCGCAGGGCGGGTCTTCCTGTTGGGCCCCGGCCTGCTGTGCAGCTCCTTGCCCTTCACAAAGGCACAGTGCACGAGCCACGAATGCAGCGGTGACAGTTTATTAAGATTCCCCGTCGCTTTGATTACTTTCATTTTAATCACCCTAATTAAGCAGGAGCCATAATGGAGCGGGGCTGTCACACCGGCGGTGGGAAGGGCCCGGGGCCAGGAGGCGGCCGGGCTGCCCGACGCTCTCGGTCGCATTAGCCCCAATCGGTCCCCGGAGCCTCCGCAGGGCACACGGTGCCCAGGACCCGCAGGCGCTGGCCAGATGAGCCGGGAGGTCTAGGGGGCGCGTCACCAGCTGTGATCACGGCCCACCTCAGGCGGCACACCTGACGCAGGTAACCCCAGGGCGCCTTTGGCCGGGGTGGGGTCCGGATGCGGGACCTCGGGCAGGTGCGGGATATACAGACATGTGGTGCTGAATTCGGAAGGAGGCCGCCCTCCTCCAGCTGCGGCCGGAGCTTCTCTGGTCCTGAAGGCACCTGGGCCGCCGGTGGGGGGGATGCGGAGCTCCTGCCCTTTGCACTGTTGTGCCTGTCAAACCTGGACAGGACAGGACAGGACAGGACAGGACAGGACAGGACAGGTGGCGTCTCTGTGGGAAGTTCATGGCATGTCCACGGCTTTCGGGGCAAACGGAGTTTCATTGCGAAGGAAGCGCCAGGCCCTGACTGAACCACGTCGACTGGCCCATCCTGCCGGGCCAGGAACCGAGTGAGAGCCGCCCGAGCCCAGGGCCAAGGCATCGCAGGCGCGATGGGAATACGGCCCCTGAAGTGTTCCTGAGGCCGGGGCTGCTCCGCCTGCTCCCGGGAGTTCACCTGCGGTGGCCCCAGTGTGTGTGGTCAGCCCTGGCTGGGCTTAGGGAGGGACAGGGTGCTGCCCCCAGCCGTCTTCAGGGACCCCTGGACTCCCTGAAACGGCCACGAACTGGCTGCCCTGAGGGACGTGGGTGCCGTTGTGGTCCCAGCAGGAGCACTCGGTCCCTGCTGCAGATGCCATTGTCACATCCCTGGCTCTGAAAGGGGGCTCCGAGGGCCGTCCCCAGCATTTTCGTTGGAAACGGAAGTTTATGAATGTGCACAGGTGGCGATGGCCTTGCGGTGGCCTTACATTTCTGTGGCCTTACATTTCTGTGGCCTTCCCCCCGCGTGAAGCGGGGCGGGGGGCAGGCTTCTCCCAGGCCCTGTCTGCAGACACACAGCGCAGTGAGGTCCCTGCCTGGGCCGAGGGGCTCCTACTGCATCTCCATGACCCCTGGGTGCTTCCCGAGGGCCTTCGGGTGGGAGTCCGCTTTACCCACCACCTTTACCGAAGCAGGCGCATCCTCCTCGCCTTGCCCACTGCCCACCCTCCAGACACCCAAGAGCTGCTCCAGGCCAGCTGCCATCCCAGCGCCAGGCCCAGAAACCGGGAGGTGGGTGCCGGGTGAGGTCTCCACCTGCAGACCCCGCTGAGGCCCTGGGAGGACCCACGGCTCCCAGGCTGCTCTTCCCCGGCCCAGAGAAAGGCCTGAAGCCTCCTGACACCCGTGAGCCAATGTTACTGCCAAGGCCCAGGGCGGGGCTTCCAAATGAGGGCTCTTGACAGGACCCTGGAGGCAAATGGGTAGGCCTTGCCCCCCCCCTCCCCGCAGTGGCACAGGAGGGAGACAGGGCCCACACAGCTCAGACCCCAGCTTACTCTGCTCCCTGTGGGCTCCCCTGGGGCACCCCCCTCCCCCCCCTCCACAGGCACCCATCCAGGAAGGCGGATCTCTCAGCCAATCCCAATTAGAAACAAGAGCGCTTAGCAACAGCCCATGACTGCACCGAGCCCCCCAAAGGTGACTTTGGACTCTCTCAGGGGTGCTCCCCCCCCCACCGGGAGCAGGTGCAGCTCTGGCCCTGTCCCTGGGTGCAGCTCCCACCACCCCATGGCCCCCCGGGTGCTCTCTGAGGGTGTGTGAGCTCA